TATGCTAAACTGATCTTCTGTATATAAAGAGAATCGAAAATGAATCCTCATGTGAATGGAAGGGGAGAGGGAGTGGGAAAGGGGAGGGATGCGGGTGGGAGGGACGTTATTGGGGGGAAGCCATTGTAATCCATAAGCCATACTTTGGAAATTTATATTCATTAAATAAAAGTTAAAAAAAATATATATTTTTGAAAAGTACACTTAAGAAAAAAATCTAAACTAAACTTAACTAGCCATTACATAAATTGTATAAGTTAGTAAGTAGTAAAACCATTGTTCCTCAATAGTATAGGCAAGGGCTATAAATAATAATCAAATCTCAAAATGTCAATTTTGCTCATATATATTACATTTTTTGCACTCTGTATATTAGTTACCATAAACCAGGGAAAACACACGATATATGATATTTATTATTGTTTTTAACAGTTTATTTATTTGAAAGGTAGAGTTTTTATATATATATGTGTATACACACACACACACACAGAGACACACGGTGGGGGTGGAGAGAGAGAGACAGACAGACATCTTCCATCTGCTGGTTCATGCCCCAAATGGCCACAACAGGTGGAACTGGACAATCCGAAGCCAGGAGCCAGGAGATTCTTCTGGGTCTCCCATGTAGGTGCAGGGGTCCAAGAACTTGGGTCATCTTCTGTTGCTTTCCCAGAAGCATTAGCATGAAGCTGGATCAGAAGTGGAGTGCCCATATGGGATGCTGGAGCCATAGGCAGTGGTTTTACCAGCTACGCCACAGGGCCATCTGTGATATTTACTTGAAACAAGGCAGAGTTTTTGTACTCTGCATATGAGTTACCACAAGTCAGGGAAAACATGTGATATTTATTTATTTGAAAGGAAGAGTTACAAAGAGAGAGACAAAGAGCTTCCATTTGCTGGTTTACTCCCCAAGTGGCTACAATAGCTAGGGCTAGGCCAGGCAGAATCCAGGAGCCTGGAACTCCATTCAGGTCTCCCATGTGGGTGCAGAGGTCCAAAGTTGTTTTATCCATTTTGATGGTGGAATACTAAAGTTTCTTAATATTAATGTTCTGCTGTTTTTCTTTTTAATCCTGTCAATATCTGTTTCAACATACAGGACCTCTGGTGTTTGGTGCATATATACATATACTTATTTTTCACTTCCCATTGAATTATCTGGACTATGGCCTTCTTATTTGTTGAACTCTTTATTTAGTGGAGCCATTAAGCATTTGACTATAATAAATTAAAGTACACTATTTCTAAAAAAATATTTTTGAAAAAGTTTCAGATTCTTTTTCAGGTAATTCACAACCATCTTTTTTTAAGTGTTCATTTTATATTTCCTTCATTTTTAGGCCTTTTTTTATTGAGCACTATATTTAAAACAGCAGAGTCCTCTCCCAGTGTCTATGGAGTGGCTTTATGCAGGAGAAATCTCTCACCAGTCAGCCTCTCTACAGGTTCTGGAACCTCTCAAACATTTTCTGGGATGTATCTTCTCCAGGGTTATGTGCTGACCTTTATTCCAGTATAGAGGCTTATAATTATCTTAATTTCCCTAGCAGACTTGGAGCTTTTGGTTTCAGTTTCTACCATATTCCTCTGCCCATACTCTCTTGCTACCCTAGTGCCTGCCTGTGGAACTGAAGATTCTCTGATGCTCTAAAGTGTTGTGGGGATCATCTTGTTTTCTGTGGACTCTAACCCAGCATCTGTACGACACCACAACGCAGGTAAGTCATAAATCAGTTTTTGGACAGGCCCCAGACTTTAGATGCAAGTTCCAGTCTTTCTGTTCTTATGGATGAATCTAGAATTGGGAGGTTTCCTCCTGATTGTACCAGGCCTTGTGTGATGGGAACCATCAAGAGAAAAATACCATGAAATTGCTACCTAGTTTAGTACAGCCTCCTGGCTAAGCATTTATCTGAGTTCTGTAGCTTCTCAAATGGTTCCTAGAGTTCCCACAAAAGTATTCTCATCTGTAGATTGTTGTTAAAATCTCTGTAGGGGAAATGAGAGTCTGAAAGTTCACTTGTCCACCATCTTGCTGATATCACATTTGCCTTCTACCATTTAAAAAAATCATTCATTTTGATGGTATTTGAGCTGGAGAGAAGGAGGAAGGAAGGAAAGGCAGAGGGACTGGAAGAGTGAGGGAGATGGAGGAACGGAGGGAAGGGAAATCTCTTCCATCCAACGGTTTACTTCCCAAATGCTTACAACAACCAGGAGTAGGCCAGGCAAAAGCCAGGCACCTGGAACTTAATCTAGATGTCCCACATGGTGGCGAGAGACCCAAGTACTTGATCCACCATCTGCTACCTCCCAGGATGTGCATCAGCAGGAAATAAATTTTACACTCAAACACAGGCACTTCAATATGGGATGTAGGCATTCCAAGAGATGTCTTAACCACTGCATCAAAAATAGCCCCACCACCAGTTTATAAGTTGCTGTTTTCTTCATTCAGCATTGTGTGCTTGCTGTCTTTGTTTTGCTTGTTTATCATTTTTTCTGCAGATAGACCAAACCATGGAATTATTTGATCTGCCATTTTGCTATAGAAGGTTGTTTTTGAGCTGAATCTTGGTATATGAATAAGATTTCAATAGGTTGAAGAGTTGATTCAGGCATTCTCAAAACGAGAAAAGGCATGAACACATGCAACTGAGGAAGTATAAATAGTGTTCTGAGATAACATGTAAAACCATGGGAAATGTTCTAAAATGCCTTATGCTTTATATCAAACCACACATATTATATATATATTATATATTATATATATTATATATTATATTATATACATATAATATGTGTGTGTATATATTACCATAAGGGTAGCAAAAATTCAAACCATAGCCTTCTGATGTTATTTATGTAGTAATACTTTTTTAATTTAAAATTTTAATTTATAAAAGGTTAATAAACTTCATATGTGTTTCATATATACAGATTTAGGAGCACAGTGATACTTCTCTCCTTTGTAGTAATACTTTTAAGAAGAGTTTTGACTGAGATTAGTGGGGCTTAGTTCCAATATATAAAACAGAAGGGAACATGCAATTATTTAGTTTTGGCATCATTCTTCTTCAGAGGAGAGGCCTCAGATCCCAGGCTCAACCTTGTCTTAGCCTCTTGGAGTTGTGTTAATCTCACAGCAAACACTGAAAGCATTATACTCTGTAGTTATGAGTTCCTAGTATTCCTGATTTATTCTTACTTTCTGATGAATGCAATGTTTCTAAAGGTTATACTGTATTGCCTTTGTGAATTCTTAAATAGTTTTTTGTCCTTTCCTTCATAGTCCATCGTCTCCTCTATATCCTCAAATTCAATGTCACTTCTCCATTTCTCATTTCTTTTTTTTTTTTTTGACAGGCAGAGTGGACAGTGAGAGAGAGAGACAGAGAGAAAGGTCTTCCTTTGCCGTTGGTTCACCCTCCAATGGCCGCCGCGGGCAGCGCACTGCGGCTGGCGCACCGCGCTGATCCGATGGCAGGAGCCAGGAGCCAGGAGCCAGGAGCCAGGAGCCAGGTGCTTTTCCTAGTCTCCCATGGGGTGCAGGGCCCAAGCACCTGGGCCATCCTCCACTGCACTCCCTGGCCACAGCAGAGAGCTGGCCTGGAAGAGGGGCAACCGGGACAGAATCCAGCGCCCCAACCGGGACTAGAACCCGGTGTGCTGGCGCCGCTAGGCGGAGGATTAGCCTAGTGAGCCGCGGCGCCGGCCTCCATTTCTCATTTCTAAAACAGGACTAGATATAATTTTATTGGGTAAAGAACATTCTACACATAACATCTCCCTTTGTATGCTGTACTGTAAATTCCAAATTTCTTATCTGGATCCCTACAAGATAGTATAAAATTTAGAGTATAGATCTAATAATCTATCATATTATTGATTCCTATAAAAATATCTGGCATATAAGCACTTTGATTAACTAAATAAATTTATTACATAATCTGGTTATATTACATACATAGTCTGTATGTATTACAGTATCTTGGTTGTAAATACTTGGAACTGTACAAATAATTACAACTTTAGGTATCACTGAAATGACAACACATTTATCAGCAAAACTCATTGTTTTCCAGCCTAAGAAGGAAACTGGCCTTTGCTCTAGATTGAGCTGAATACATACATACCTGTCAGAATAGACAAAATTGTGGTCTTTCCTGCCCCATTATGCCCCAGAAGAACAGTGATCTGCTCCTCATACAGATTCAAAGACAAGTTGTTTACCACTACATTGTCTTCATATTCCTGTGACATAAAAGACAGACATTTTTAATCAAACTTGACATGTTATTATTAAAGGGAAACACTCACATGTGCTTCCTTCAAAGAAACAAAACATTAAATTTGACAATAAAGGATAATGCTGTAAACTAGGAAGAATATTTTTAGATGTATTAGGTTTTTTTTTAAGATTTTATTTATTTGAGAGGCAGAGTTATAGAGAGAGATAGGGAGAGACAGAGAGAAAGGTCATCCATCCACTGGTTCACTACCCAAAGGACCATAACAGTTAGAGCTGGGCCAATCTGAAGCCAGGAGCAAGGAACTTCTTCCAGGTCTCCCACATGGGTGCAGAGGTCCAAGCACTTGGGCCATCTTACACTGTTTTTCTAGGCCATAGCAGAGAGCTAGATTGGAAGAGGAGCAGTTGTGACATGAACCGGTACTCATATGGGATGCGGGGACCACAGGTGAAAGCTTACCTTAGTATACCATATCACCAGCCCCTAGGTTTTTATATTAATCAAAATATAGGTGGAGGCACAGTTGTATATCCATTTATGTATCAAGAGTGTATGATTTGATCCATTATAACAAGATGCAATAGCTCAGAGAAGCACTAATAACTAAAAAAGTTGATGCTTTCAGTTAGAAGTTTGGTGAATTCCAAGAACATGCCTAGAAACTCTTAATACTTTTTTTTTTTGGACAGGCAGAGTTAGACAGCGAGAGAGAGAGACAGAGAAAAAGGTCTTCCTTCCGTTGGTTCACCCCCCCAAATGGCCGCTATGGCTGGTGCACTGCACCAATCCAAAGCCAGGAGCTTCTTCCTGGTCTCCCATGAGGGTGCAGGGAGTACCTGGGGTGCTGGCGCTGCAGGTGGAGGATTAGCCTAGTGAGCTGTGGCACTGGCCGAAACTTAATATTCCAAGGAGTTAGACCATTAAGATCTAGCCCATGACATTTTTGTACATAAAATGAGCTAAAAATTGTTTCTATACTTTCAAAAGATTGTTTGAAAAAGAATATGTAATTGATATTGTTAAGTGGTCCAGGAAATCTGAAAACCTTATCTGATTCTTTAGAAAACAAGCTTGATGATCTCTCTAAAGGGTTTCTTGGAAACTCTCATGCAATGATGATAACAACATGGCTGAACAATAGGTAGATCCCTAGCTCTTGTATTCCCATAGAAACACTGATTTAGCCACTATCCACAAATGAGACTACCTTTGTGAGAATTTTGGATCCTAAGGGAGATACTATAGCACCCTGGTAGAGCACAAAATCTGAGGAAAACTGTACTGAAAAGATCAGATAAATGTTTTCCTTTTTTTTTTATTTGACAGGCAGAGTTATAGACAGAGAGAGAGAGAGAGAGAGAGAGAGAGAGAGAGAAAGGTCTTCCTTCTGTTGGTTCACTCCCCAAATGGCTGCCACGGCTGGGGCTGCGCCGATCCGAAGCCAGGAGCCAGGTGCTTCTTCCTGGTCTCCCATGTGGGTGTAGGGGCCCAACAACTTGGGCCATCCTCCATTGCCCTCTCAGACCACAGCAGAGAGCTGGACTGGAAGAGGAGCAGCCTGGACTAGAATCCAGTGCCCATATGGGATGCTGGCACTGCAGGCAGAGGATTAACCAAGTGAGCCACGGTGCAGGCCCAGATAAATGTTTTCACTTTCCCTCAGGCTGGCACAATGCCATACCATAGATGTTCTGCTAAGCCTGAACTATTGCCAGTGGGGTAAAGACAGGACATTTGGGAGCATTACCCCAAACTCTCATTCCAAATGCCCAACATGGAACACTGGGATAATAGGCCTGGGGACACCTGGGGGCACCTGAGAACACAGAAACAGTGGGGACCCTCAGGAGCTGACATCGTGGATTTTTGAGTACAGCTCCTGCCAGTGGCCCATCCATTGACTCCATCTGACTGCACAACTTAGACAGTGGCCCCATCGATGTCAAATCAGTTGCCCCATTGAACCTAATAGTTTCACTAACTGGTCCTGCCAGACAGACAAGCACAGAGTTTCAAATGTTGCAATAGTTTGGAAGTCAATTTAACTCTAGTATAAAAGCTAAAAGAAAAATGTGTAAAGAATAACTTACACTCAAAAACCGTTAACGGTTGCATAATACAAAAATATAAACTTTGAAATTAATTTTTATTAATATAAAGAGAACAGATTTCATGTATTCACAGGTACAGTTCTTTTTTTAAAAGATTTTAAAGATTTATTTATTTGAAAGAGTTACACATAAAGAGGAGGAGAGGCAGAGAGAGAGAGAGAGAGAGATTGAAAGGGAGGGAGGGAGGGAGAGGACTTTAATCATCCGCTGGTCCACTCCCCAATTGGCTGCAATGGTCGGAGCTGTGCTAATCCAAAGCCAGGAGCCAGGAGCTTCTTCTGGGTCTCCCATGTGGGTGTAGGGACCCAAGGACCTGTCCCATCTTTCATTGTTTTCCAAGGCCACAGCAGAGAGCTGGATATGAAGTGGAGCAGCCAGGACTTGAACTGGCACCCATATGACTTTACCTGCTATGCCACAGTGCCTGCCCCTCATAGGTACAGTTCTAAGAAGATAACCATATTTCTGTCCCTCCCTCTTTCCTTCCCTCAATTCCTCTCCTTCCTTCCTCTCTTTAAATCAAACACACAGTTTTCACGTGTGGCAGGAGTAAAAGTGCAAAACTATTAAATACAGTTGAAATTTTGAAAAATCAGCTTAAAACTGATTGTTATAAGATACTCAATGCTTCAGAAAAAGTTGCAGGTTTATAAAATAAACATACAAAACAGTAGCATTTAGTAGGCTAATGATAAACTCACTGAAAGAAAAACCAAGAAAGAAATCCCATTCAGAATAGTCACAAAAAAACAAATTTAAGAATAAATTTAACTAGAAGTGAAAAATCTCTACAATGAAAATTATAAAACAATAATGAAAGAAATCATCAAAGGCGCACACACACAAATAGAAACACATTCTTACTCATGGATTGGAAGAATCAATATCATTAAAATATCTATACTACCTAAAGCAATCTATAGCTTAAATGCAGTTCATGTCAAAATATCTATGACATTCTTCACAGAATTAGAAAAAACTATCCTAAACTTCATATAGAATCACAAAAGACCCAGAATCGTCAAAGCAATCCTGAACAGAAAAAATCAAGCTGGAGACATCACAATACCTGACTTCAAAGTATTCAATCAATTGAATTTCTACACAACTACAACAAACTATTCCAACAGGAAAATAAGGAAACAATCTAATTTACAGTAGCTCCAAAAATAATAAATACTCAGTAATACATGTAAAAAAGGAGGTGAGGGGCTGGTGCCGCGGCTCACTTGGCTAAGCCTCTGCCTGCGGCGCTGGCACCCCGGGTTCTAGTCCCGGTTGGGGCGCCGGATTCTGTCCCGGTTGCTCCTCTTCCAGTCCAGCTCTCTGCTGTGGCCAGGGAAGGCAGTGGAGGATGGCCCAAGTGCTTGGGCCCTGCACCCACATTGGAGACCAAGAAGAAGCACCTGGCTTCTGGCTTCGGATTGGCGCAACGCGCCGGCCATGGCAACCATTTGGGTGGTGAACCAACGGAAGGAAGATCTTTCTCTCTGTCTCTCTCTCACTGTCTAACTCTGCCTGTCAAAAAAAAAAAAAAAAAAGAGGTGAGAATTTTCTACAGTGAAAAGTCATTCATGAAGACAATTAAAGCAGACACAAATAAATGGAAAGGCACCTATGTTCATGATTTGGAAGAATACATACTGTTAAAATATCCAAATTATCCAAAGTGATCTAAATATTTACTGTAATCCTTATTAAAATCCCAAAGATATTTTTCACAGAAAGAGAAAATTATCCTAAAAGAGAAAACACAAAAGATGCTGAGAAACCAAAGTAATTTTGAGAAAAACAAAGTTGAGTTTATCATACTTTCCAATTTCCAAATATATTACAGAGCTACAGTGATCAAAACAGTTCCAGCAAGAATGTTATCAGCAAAGGCTGAACCAATAGGGCACTCGATCTTGGAAGCAAACCTCCAAAATTGTGAGTTAAATAAACCTTTCTTCTTCATTTTTTTATCTGTACACCTATGTTTATTATGGCTTAATTCACAATAGTTAAGATATGGAATCAAACCAAATGTCCATCAACTGAAGACTTGATAAAGAAATTATGGTATATGTATATATAGTGTATATATATGTGTGTGTATATATATACACACACACACATTGTGGAATACTACATAGCAGTAAAAAATGAAATATTTTCATTGGCAACAAAAAGGATACAACAAGAATCCATTATACTTAGTGAAATAAACCAGTCCAAAAAGACAAATACCATATGCTCTTCTTGATCTATGGTAACAGAGTTCCTAAAAGGTTATCTATAGAAGTAAAATTGACACTTTAAGATGATGATTTTGAACAGACCTTGTCTCAACACTGAGAAATAGAGAACAGTGTTTTTTTTTCCTTCATACTATTTTTTGATCTCTTTATTAATTATAGGGTTAATCTTATGGCTATAAAGTAACGAAAAGAGTTCTTTGTAAAAATAAGAATGGAAATAGGAGCGGGAGGAAGAAAAAGGGTGAATGTGTGGGCAGGAGAGAAGTGGAGTAGAAAATATCACTATTGTACTGATTCTGTGTATAGGAAATACATGAACTTTGTATTCCTTAATTAAAATTTAGAGTAAAATAAGTACAAAAATTTAAAAAAGAATGGAATGAAAGTGAGGGATTGAGAGAAGAAGAATGGGAGAAAAATACAGATATCCTCTTAGAATTGTACCAATGAATTCATGAAATTTGTTCTTTTTGTTGATAAAAATTAAAAACATATACTGGTGGCCGGCGCTGTGGCTCACTTGGCTAATCCTCTGTCGCAGCGCTGGCACCCTGGGTTCTAGTCCTGGTTGGGGCGCTGGATTCTGTCCCGGTTGCTCCTCTTCCAGTCCAGCTCTCTGCTGTGGTCCGGGAGTGCAGTGGAGGATGGCC